TGATTGACCACAGACAGAAGCCGCGCCCCCGAAGCTTGGCACGACCCCGCCCAGGTGGACGAGGACAACAATGAAGAACGCGGGGACTTCCTGATGGAGGCGGAGTCCTACGACCAGGTGGGTGTGGCCTCATGCCACCTCAAAAACGAATCCCGTGTGCCGCACGATTGTTATTCACGGCTGGGTTTGCCCATCCAGGACGGTTCGGCGTCGCGCGCCATGCGCTCGGCCCGCCGCTGCATCCGGCACCAGCAGTCGTGTTTGGGCTTCCCGCTGCCCTGCTGCGACGCCTGCGACACCTGCTATTGTCGCTTCTTCAACGCCATCTGCTACTGCCGCCGCGTCGGGCACGCCTGCCCGTCGGCGCGCACCTGACGCCGCCCTCCGCGAGCGGCCGACACACGAGCGCGCCGAACCACCAGGATGCATCAAACACGCCACCGCGCCCGCCGGCCCAGAAACACCCGACGTGCCGACGGGCCGCCGTGGTCCTCTTCTTTTGCCGCCGCTTCCCCTCGCTTCTCGTATCCATGTTGGATCGACTGTGCTTGAAATAAAGGAAGTCCTCCGTTTGTTTGTCCTCAAGTTTGAATTTTGCCTCCCTGACAGCAGGGAGCAGCGATGGGAAAAGTCACCATGAGTCGCGGCTCAGGCATCCGCGAATTATTTACGACAACGAGAAAGCTGAACTCCGATAACTCATTTTCAATTGCCATTTTCTTTCATCATGTGTTTTGATTCACTGCGATTGCTATTCAGAAGAATAATGCTAGTCTGTCAACATTTCCTTCAACGGATCCATTTTTGGGCACCGAAACGTCGGCGGTGACGGGCCGTAACGATGCTGAAAGGTAATCGAAACGGTCCGAGTGACATGTCATGAGTAGACAGTGGATGACAGGAATGGAAGGTGCCGTGTCAGACATCCTTTGTCGGCCACGATCAAGAAATTGAAGACAGAGCGCATTTGTCGTTGGAGACGTTTTATTGACCATGACGTTGTGCGTTGGGCTTAGTTGGCGGCCATGGTCTGGTCCATCCAGGCGCGGAGTTCGGTGACGCGGGCGTAGACGCCGGGCATAGTGGGCGTGCACGTTCCGCTGCCCCAGGACACGATGCCCACCAGGGTCCAGGCGCCCTCCTTCTGGCAGACCAGGGGGCCGCCAGAGTCGCCCTGCGAAAAGACAGAGAGAGTGCCCGTTAGCACGGAAACAAAACCAAAGAGCAGCGCTGAGGAATCGGTACTCGTGGAAAATCCTTTGGGGGGTGCGGACTCGGCACTCGCAGATTTACTTTGCGTCCTGCAGGACGTAGTAACGTGGTTCTCGACATTCCGTCGTCGAGACTTGGTACTAAAGACTTTGTACTGTCAACTTGGAAGTAGACACTCGGTAGAACTGTATCTGTCCTCGGATGGCCAAAGTTGAAAGTAGACAACCGGTACTACTGTAGTTGACGTTTGACGGTCAACACTTGAACACTTGAAAGGGAAGCTCCAGTCACCACTCGGCAGAGATACGACCCTGTTTAGGCTCGGGATTTGAGAAGGTCACAATTAGTTTTGAGAGGGCCCAGCCCACCATGCATGATGAGGCTCCGGAGGCTCCGGCGCAGATCATCAGGTTGCTGATCTTGTTGCCCCAGAATCGGCGGCACTGCTCGTTGGTCATCAGCGGCAGGGAGGCCTGCTGCAGGAGGGCCGGCGTGTCGGGAGCTGAAAGGCAAGCGTAGGCTCGGGGTGAGGGTCGGGCCGGAGCGGCCGGAGCGGCCG